AAAGAAAGAAAGAAAGAAAGAAAGAAAGAAAGAAAGAAAGAAAGAAAGAAAAGAAAAGAAAGAAAGAAAGAAACAGAAGAAAGAAAGACAGAAATTCCATCTTCCCTGTGCACCACATCATAGCCAATGATGCAGTTTGGTTTATTACTTTTAAAACTGTCAAAGTCACATATAGCTCTGGTTTAAAAAATCCAACCGCATAGAAGGGCAAAACGAAACAAAAAACAAAATGACAATGATCTGTTCTACTCCTTATTTCTACCTCCCCTCCCAATCCCCAGGGACTATTTAAGCATTCCTGTTTTTGTTTTTGTTTTCTGGAGATTAACCTCTGTAAGAATAAGTCATTGGTGTTCAAGAGTTGGTTTGCAAAACACTAGCAACATGTGAAATGATTTTGGGTGATACTGAATGAAAATGTTTAAACATTTAAAAGTTACCTATTTAATGTACATTAGAAAAAAAATGTATATTAAGTAGAGCATCAAACACATACATTCACAAATACATTGCTAAGGATGAAGCTAATATAAGTATTTAAGAAAAAAGGTGTGTTGATATGAGGAAACTTCTTAAAAAAATAATTCAGGTGGTACACAGATACAGTAAAAATTGTAAAGGTGGTACCACAGGGGTACAAAATGAGTTTCACCAGGAAAGTTAAGGCCCCTGACAAATGGCACTTTCTTGCCCCTCTTACACAGGTGCAAAGTAAGCATTGCCTTTTAATCCCTGAAGATTTTAAGACAGTTTGTGGGTTTTCACTGACACAGTTTGAGAAACACTGCTCTAAATATTATGCTTACTTTGATATTTCTTTTTTTATAATAAAAATAATCCACAAATTAAAGCTTGAGAATGACTGCACTGGAAGACAAAATTAGGTACTCTTACTGATAAAAAGAATGAGTTTGGATTTCAGGCTTAGTGACTATTCTGTACAAAATGAACAGAAAAACAAAAGAGGCATGGATGGACACAAGAACAAAACCATTATTAGCATAAGAATTAACAGACCAGACTCAGTGGTAGAGAATAAGAGAAAGGGTGAAATGCTCTTAATAGGGATAATAGACCATGACCAATTAATTATAGACTGTCACAGTAGATAAAAAGAGGAAGTGCGATATTCTTTGGGATGAGTTATCTGTCCTGGACAAATTCCAGCAGGACATGAGGAAATCAAACAGAACACAGAATAATTCTTCACTGTGCAGGACTGGCCCAAACACTCTAGGATATCTGTCATCCCTGTCCCTAGTGACTAGATGCCAGTAACATCCCCCATTCATTGAGTCAGCCAAAATATCCCTGGTGAAAACATCATAGGCCTCTTCCATGCTTAAAATTCTAGATTAGCTTAAATGTCATTTCCTTATTTAGTTAGGGACTTCTATACATAAGGTAAAGACTTACGTATTTCCTTTTCCTATTTCCAGTGGAGTTCACTGGGATATCTGCTCATCAGCACCTAATTCTGCCAGGTAAAGGCACAAGAGTAGTGGGTATGGGGTTGTGTGTGGTTAAAATGGAGATGGAGTTTGAATGGAGGAAAATGGTGGAACAAGAGTGGAAATCATTCTTGTTGAGGTTTGAGTGCATCTGAATGGGGGGGGGGACAGGAGTGAGTCATTTCACAGTTGGGAAATAGGATACACTCACTCTGTGGTGCCCTTTGCAATACCTGGGACACTCCCATCTACTATATAACCATGGGGTGGGATCCTGGATCAATGGATACTGGGTCTGTAGTAGGACTGCCTACAGGAAGATCATTCAGTGTCAGTCCACAATAGGGGAAGTGACACGCTTGGTTTGAAGGCTTCAGTCAGATAGTCAATTCAAGAAAATATGACACCTTCCCATGATATCCTTGGCTGAGGGATTTCTCCTCTCTCACCTGGATGACTCCTACCCCACATAATGCTTATATACCATGGCCTTTTCCTGTCTTTGGCCTGCTGATTTTAGGTGGCCTGTAGATCCTCTTATGTGGCATGTAGCACCTCCCTGTAGAGACCTAGAGTTGGGGTGCTGATGTGGGAGCTCTTGGTCTGAAAGGATTAAACCTGCTTACACTGGTGTCGTTCTCACCTTCAAGACAAAAGGACTCTAATTAATTTGGGACACACCAGAACTTTCCCAATCTCCTAAGCAAACTTAGAATCTGCCATGTCCGGACTTATCCTACGGTTTCCCAAAGTGACTTCACCATTTTATATTTTAACAAACATATATATGAGTCTCAATTTCTCCATATCCTTGTCAACATTTATTACCATCTTTTTGATTATCATACCCTTTGAGGCACACAAGCTTTCAACTTTGATAAAGTCTAATTTATCTGTTTTTTTCTTTGGTTGTGTTTTAGGTGCAACATTTAAGAACCCATTGCCTAATCCAACTTCAAAAAGTTTACACCTATGTTTTCTCTAAGAGGTTTATATTCTTATCTCTTACATTTAGGTCTTTGTTCCATTTTAATTAGCGTGTGTGCGTGTGTGTGTGTGTGTGTGTGTGTGTGTGTGTGTGTATGTTTGTGTATGTGTAAACAGTGTAAGGTGTGGCTCCAAAGTCACCCTTCTTTTGCATGTGGATATCCAAATGCTACAAGGTCTTGATGGTACAACCTTTTACAAGAATAGTGGTATAGTGGTATCAGTTAAACAGCTGTTTTACTGGAGTAAAGATTGAGCCTCTCATGCAACCATTCCAGAAACCTCTTTACTATTTATTATCTTTAAATATTATTGATGTCCTTCCAAGAGGATTTAAGTCTTTTTAAACTATCTTTTAACCTCTCAAAATGTTGTGAATCATATCATTTTTAGTTTCCTTGTTGACTACCTTTTATTAGTATGCTTTGATTGGTTAGGATGCTCTTGGTTGAAACTAACAGAAAATTTACTCAAACTGTGTTAGTTAATTAGTAAATTTAATGTTTAATGGAACAGGAAATCCAAAGGTAGTGTGGGCTTCAAAGCTGGCTGACTCAGTGGTTAAATGAGGTTATCAAGAACTCATGTTCTTTTCTTTTTAAAACAAATCTTTTTTTTAATGTTTTTATTTATTTTTGAGACAGAGACAGAGCATGAGCAGGGGAGGGGAGAGAGAGAGAGATACAGAATCCAAAGCAGGCTCCAGGCTCTGAGCTGTCAGCACAGACAGAGCCCGACGTGGGGCTCGAACTCATAGAGGGCGAGATCGTGACCTGAGCTGAAGTCGGACGCCTAACCGACTGAGCCACCCAGGCACCCCAAGACCTCATGTTCTTTTCTTTCCTTCGCTGTGCTCTCAAAAATAAAGGCTTTGTACCAAGCGGGTTCCCCACTTATTCATAAGATGGCTGCCAAAAATTATCTCTGTTACACACTTTCTTGTTTATGTCCAATGGGAGAGAGAATGGCTTTTCTATCTCATGTCTTAAGAGTAAAGACAAACTTTCTTCTCATGTCATTGGTCAAAACTGGACCACATGCAGATTTGTAAACCAATCACTGGCAAAGGAAGCCAAGGATGGGGTCTGCTACCCAGGAGCCACCTGGTCTATGCTGGGAGAGTTGAATACTTGAGAATAAAACTCAGAGTTATATTAGAAAAGAAGGATGTAATGGTACTAATTAGCAACCAAAAGTGTCTGCTACAACTTTTTTTCGATCAACTTTCAACAGTATATCTTGACTTATCTTAAAAAAATAGGTATCAACTCCTTCTACCCTTTCTTCTACTTATCCTTTCCCACTTCCTCTTCTCAACTTCTCATGTGTTAACTACTCTATCAAGATCACATCCAATACTGTTAATTTAAGCACAAATGCCTAACCAGTGAATGTTATAGTACAAGTTTAAAATCATTTTGCTGAGGTACAGTCTATGGAATAAATCTGGGGGGAATTTCATTATTATCTCTATCCACTGAGTTACTGTAACAGAATTATGTTAGAACCAACCCCTGAAACATTGGCCAAATATCTTGAGTTCCTTTAGGAAGTGACAGCTTTCCCACTCTGACCTTTGACAGTAATTATCCCTTTTTGTTCGCAACTGGAATGCTGACATTGAGTAACTGAGAGTATTCATTCACTTAATAAGTAACTGTCAGGGTTCAGTAAGGTTAAGAGAATACTCTAAGACTGTAAACTAACTTCTCCAAAGTATCACCAAAAGCATTTGAAACCAGAAGAGGAAAAAAAAAATTCATTTACAATAGCAACAACAAAAAATATACAGGCAGAAAACTAGTAAGAATTGTGCAGAGCCTTTAGGAAGGAAATTGCAGAAATTTATTAAGATGACATCCAATAACAATCACCCAATATTATATAAATGTCAATTAAAAACTATGAATTATCTCCAAATAACTTATAATTTTAATTCACTTGTGAGTTATTAAAACACAGTCTAGAATAATTTTAAGAGGTATAGGGCAAGATAGAAATATGAATGGAAAAGAAAAAGGTGTCAAGAAACACATTTACATTGTAGTAATTATTATTACTTTTTAAAGAATGACAATTCAACTAGAATAGGAAAAAAGGATTGTTCAGCAAATGATACTAGGATAAATGTCTAAGGATATGGAAGAAAATGGACTCCGTTCTTTTTTTTTAAATGTTTGTTTGTTTGTTTGTTTGAGAGAGCTTGCATGAGCAGGAGAGGGGCAGAGAGGGAGGGAGAGAAAGAGAATCCCAAGCAGGCTCCCCCTGTTGGCTTGGAGCCCAATGCAGGGCTTGAGATCCCATGAGATCATGACCTGAGCCAAAAAAGAAAAAGTCAGATGTTCAACCAAATGAGTTACCCAGGCGCCCCAAAAGTACTCCATTCTTACTCAAACCATGCATCATACAAGATGCTAAATGGAGTTAAATATGGGATAGGAGGACAAAGTGGAAACCTAAAATAAATGTGGATAAAGAGAAATTCTATATAATTCTGTAGTTAATAGGTAAGGCCTTTTAATTCCTAACTTTAAAATTAGAAATATTAAAGACCTATGTTGCTACATGAGACCACATAAAAGTTCTGCACATCCATAAAATACAAACATAACTAAAATACAAATGACAAAACAGGAAAATGATTTACCCCATAGGACAAAAGCAGACACTAATTAAAAAAAAAAATCTTGTTAATAAGCAAGAAAAAGATGAACAAACCATAAGAAAAATCAGCAAAGGTCATGGCCAAGAAAAACAAATGCCCTGAATGTGGAGAAAATAAGCTTTTGTATAATACTGCTTATAACAGTTTTTGAGCACAGTTTGGCAATATACACATAGCTTTAAAACACACAACAGCTTTAATTACCAGTTCTACTTCTTGAAATCCCTCGCAAAGAAATGCTCAGAGATGTGTGCAAATATTTATCTCCATATATCAGCAATTAAGTAAATGACAAATAACTAAATGTCCCATAATATTGGTAGTTTAAGTAGATCATGATATGATCACAAGAGTTTTAAGTAAATCCAAGCAGGTTAAAAGCCTTACATACAATATAGCCACATTTTTTTCTGTAAGAAAAATAATTAAGTACATGTATGTAAAATATTCTGGAAGTATACTCACTCACTGTGGTCTTTAAATGTTAGGACTATAGAGGATTTTTGAGCTTAGAACTTTAACTGGATGTTCTAATTTTTCCCATAATGAAATTGTATTACTTCTATAATTTAAAAAGTTATTTCTATAAGAAAATTAGACCATAACGTTTTGGCTACTAGCAATGTCACTTTCCCTAATTTATACTCTGTTATTTCCTGAGCTTTTATCAAAGTATACTAGAAGATGTCAGGAAACCTGATACACCACTTGCTCTGAAGATGTTTTTGAGGACACTGCCTACTCCACTTCTTAGTATGCCCTGGAAGAGAAATCACATAAAAAATTACCTTTCAAGCACCAGAAAAACCTTTGCTTACTCTTGGGAAGTGGGATACTTCTTTTAATGAATCATGAGAATCATTTGTGTCCTTACTTTTATTTTAACTCAGGTGGCAGAATATTTAAAACCAAATACTTCACCTAATTATAGTTACTAGGTAGCATCATCTGGCTTGTGTATCTGTTCATCCACCCTCACCTGCAGAACATGGAGATAGCATTTTTTCCTGTGATGGGTGGCACAGAGTAGTGCCCTCCATAAATGTTAGCTCTACTTACTTCTATCCTTCTTCCCTTTTTCCTTAGCAATTCTTGACGTTCCACATTCATTAGTTTTTCCTGTCTCCATTAGTATGTTTTTGTAATGTGTTTATTTATTTTTGAGAGACAAAGAGCAAGAGAGACACAGAGTGCGAGCAGGGAATGGGACAGAGAGAGAGGGAGACAGAATCTGAAGCAGGCTCCAGGCTCCGAGCTGTCAGCACAGAGCCCGACGCGGGGCTCGAACTCATAAAATGAGAGATCATGCCCTGAGTAGAAGTTGGACAGTTAACTGACTGAGCCGCTCAGGCGCCCCTCCATTAGTATGTTTTAAAAATTATATTTCATCTTTACTGATAATTAGTTAAACAAATCCTTGCTCCAATTTTACTTCTTCTCATTCAAGAAGAAAGACCTTAAGAATAAGGATGTTGAAAAGACATGGAGGGTGGGGGGAAAGGCATGAGTTTTCCTCAGATATTTACAGAATTACTCTCAAAGACTCCAGAGGAAATAACAAGGCCCAAAGATGAGTAGCAGTAAAAGGCAGATATGAGGAATAAATAATCAACAGGGCTGCTTCAAGTTTTAATGAAATGCCCTTGCCATTAGCAATGTCCAAGCCAGGGGGCGCCAGGGTGGCTCAGTCGGTTGGGCGACCGACTTCAGCTCAGGTCACGATCTCACGGTTTGTGAGTTCGAGCCCCGCGTCGGGCTCTGTGCTGACAGCTCAGAGCCTGGAGCCTGCTTCTGATTCTGTGTCTCCCTCTCTCTCTGCCCGTCCCCCACTCATGCTCTCTCTCTGTCTCAGAAATAAACAAACATTAAAAAAAGATTAAAAAAAAAAAAAAAAAAGGAATGTCCAAGCCAAGACTGAACAACTGGTTAGAATATCTTAGAAAAGATCTCAGCATAAAGTAGGAGATTAGACATGAGAACTTCTTTTCATCTAGGATTCTATGATTTTCACACAGTTCTATGAGTTGGGCAAGCACTGTTTTATAAAGTAGAGAATAAGAAATCATCCTGTATATGATTTTCAATAATGTTCTATAATCATTTATAAAGTACCTTAAGAATGAGAACAAAGCTGTAGCCAGAACAATCAGGCAATCGTGTTAGTGAAAGAGAACAGTTACCTGTCTGGAAAAAGACTCTGGAAATAATTGTCCGGCACAACGGGCAGGGAGTGCTTGCAGGATTGTCTTTGGCAAGAGTCCGTAAGCAGGGCTCACAGAAGATGTGGTGGCAAGGGTAACACATGTATGGGTTGAAATAAACATCCAGACATACTGCACAGATGTAACTTTCCTTTTCTTCTGCATATTCATTGTCATCATCTGTACTCATCTCATTATTCAAAGTCTGTAAAACATAAGCAAAAATAATTTCTCTCAGTTCAGTATGAGATTGGTTTCCTTGAGAAAGAGAGACTGCCTTTACATTTTGTTAAAATGAATAAAAATATTTATGAGAAGCACATAATATCTCTTTCTGTGACATATTTCAAGTGACAGAAAGGCTATCTTGCAAAGTGACAAGAAACTCAAAACGCACACGAAAAATCCAGAAGTCTTAATTATTCTTTTAAAAAGTACTTTTCGTATTTTTATATAATACTAAATGCTAAAATCTGTCCAAACATACTGAAGTAACCCCTATCTCTATTTAACCAGTACTAGTTAAGTATGTGTCAGGTATACTAGTCCCAGGACTACAGATTCCTCATTGATCCCACTCCCACCACAGCAAATAAAGTGATTGTCACAAGGTTATAGAGCCTTACATGGGCATCTGCATATGATAAAAAGGACAAGAGGATACCATATATGCTTCATCCCCAGACCAGGCATGCACTATCTACTCTACACTTTGTCCCTTCGTGGACCCCAAGGCCAAGAAATGGCCAAAGACTAACATATGTCAGGAAATAGACAAGGCAAAGAGACTTGTAGCAATTTGGGGATCAGCCTTGTAGCTGAGAAATGGGATGAGTCCCTTCCCTCCTCCCAAAAAAGAATAGTTAAGAAAGATGTAGTTAGGAAAGAGGCAGCTCAGAGGTTAGCAGCGTGAGGCCTGGTAACAGAATGCCTGTTACTTAGGCTCACGATTTCCCCATCTGTGAGGATGACGTGAGGATTAAATGAGGTAATCCACTAGATATCAAGCATTCTGTGAAATCCCATATAACATAAACAAAGTTTAAAACAGGACATGAAGTAAAAGTCTCTCTCCAAAAGAAAGCTTGCAGCTAGGACCTGCACAATAATAAAGAAAAATCTGTAGGAAAGGCAACAGAATCCATAATTTTTTGTTCATTTTTGATACATGAATATTCTTTCCTAAACTGAAAAGATATTTGCAAAATGAAAGGTATAAGTAAATGATTAGTAGTGAACTGGGCACCCCAGATAAAAACATCTATGGACCTAGATGCTGACTTACCTAAATTTTATTTCATAATGCCACCTTATTCTGCTTGCATTATACTCTCAGGACTGTGCCTTGAGATTTGAACTAATTAACCTTAAAGAAACCCATGGCATAAAAAAACCCCATCATTTGTGGAACCTCTTGAAGCATTTCAAATTGTGACCCAAATATTTGTGCAGAATTTTATTTCTATAAAGGACTTTACATATCCAACAAAAGTAACTAGACCACATTAAAATACACAAGGAAATAAAAGCTTTGCTCTTTAAAAACACAATATTTTGCAAATAAACTTGATGTGAGTTTGAAAATAGAAAATGAGGTTGGAACTATTCATCTATTATTTGATCTAAGTGAATCAATCCTCAAAACAGAAATAACGTATATAAAATTCACTACGTTTTAGGGAGTTAAAAAGGTTTAAAGTTTTCATTAATCCAGAAAACTGCACCTGTCTGGTAATAAATACTGTTATACAAAAAGACAAACAAATTATCTCAAGGATAGTATACCAGTGAGTATTTCTCCAAATTGCAGCGATGGAGGGTTGTATAATAGTAAATTTGCTGTTGGATGGGGAGTTACATTTTTAAGTTTTTATTTAAATTCCAGTTAGTTGAACAATTATATTTTAAAAATTAATACTCATTAATGGATCACTGCCAACATAGAAAGAGGTTTTTAATAGGTATGTCTAAGAACTCATATTCGTCTCCTCAATATTTCAATGGTCATAGATGAAGACCCCAGAAATGCTTATCAGAAATGTAAGGAAGGGGACAGGAAAGATACCTGGCTAATTAAGGACCAAAATCCTTTCTGGAATAAGGTATGCCATTAGCAAATAATATAAAAATGTACACTAGGCTAAACCAGTTGGCAGAGTCAAGATTTTTAAAAAGTCTCCATAGGTAGCTGGGCTGAAATCAAGACTGAATTTAACAGATACATATAAATTCCTAATTGAAGACTCTAAAAGAAACTGCACACCTATATGATGAATAAAATTTAGCTAAAGCAATTTATGTCAAGAAGAGCTAGGTATTTTATCTGGATTTTAACTGACTTAACTAAGCTCAGTGTATGATGTAGTTACTTAAAAAGCCAATCAAACCTGAAGTGCAGTGTAGTGTGGGTTTATGCGTCTCTCATTGTACAACGATCACAACACGTTTGTAGCTACTCTAAGGAACACAGACAAATGAGAGTCATCCACAGAAACACCGAAGGCCAGAGCAGCATGGGTTCTGAAACCACCTCCTAGAAAGTACGGTTAAAACATGATATTCATTCAGAAAAATAGTGACAGGACATGAGATAAACAAACAAGCATTGGTATGACAAAGATCCTGATTTTCCTCTGTGGAGTTTTTATGATTAGATCTAAAAGCAAATGGAGGGGCGCCTGGGTGGTGCAGTCGGTTAAGCGTCCGACTTCGGCCAGGTCACGATATCGCGGTCCGGGAGTTCGAGCCCCGCGTCAGGCTCTGGGCTGACGGCTCAGAGCCTGGAGCCTGTTTCCGATTCTGTGTCTCCCTCTGTCTCTGACCCTCCCCCGTTCATGCTCTGTCTCTCTCTGTCCCAAAAATAAAATAAACGTTGAAAAAAAAATTAAAAATAAAATAAAATAAAATAAAAGCAAATGGATGTGAAGAGGCGATAGATTGTAAGAGAAATACCTATTTATAAACCCAAACGACATGAGCACAGCCTAAAATGGCTACTCTTGTACAGTACACCTGTCATGGAGCTCACCATTTATCTTATGCTCCCCATGAAATACTGTGAGGCTTAGAAATAAGAGAATTAAAGTTGTATACATTAACTAATTTCCTTAACACAAAACCCCTATGAAGCAGGTACTATTACTATCATCATCTTTTAGAATAAAGAAAACTGAGACATTGAGAGCTCGCTAACTCTAGTGGTGAAGCTGGCATTTGAAAAAAGCCAGTAAATGAACCTAGGGCAGTGCTCTTCACTACCACACTCTTACGTGAGTCAGTGTACTTCAAAACATACTAGCAAATAATAAATGTTAGCTGGTGACGATTATGACGTAGGTTTAAAGAAAAAGACAAATTTAGTTAGGATCCACAGGGAAGTAAAATTTCAAGGCATTGTTATCAAAATTAGCAGATGAATATATAGGTGCCCAATGTACAACTACTTTTGACCCCATGGAAACTGTCCTACAAAGAACAAACACACTCAGTCTCTCACATTCCTTTCCAGGGGCTTCCAGTCTCAGAAGAGGAAAAAATAAACTGCTAAATAATATAAAGCAATAAGCTTCAAAAAAATTCAGGAAAAAACTAGCATAAAAATTAACAGACCAAGAGTTTTTATTAGTAATAACAAAGCAGCAGTGCCATTTAGCTCATTTACAATATTGTGATTACTGCTATATTTGGCCTTATTCCTCTAACTTACTATTTTTTAATAGGTGCTAGTAGGGCAGTGAATAGGAGCAAGACTCCAGAGCCTGTTTGGGCTCTGACACTATTGCCTGTGTGACCTTATGCAAATTACTTAACTCCCTGGAGTATCACTTTTCTCATTTCTAAGGTGGAGATACTAACAGTACTGAGCTCACAGTTGTTGAAGAAAGAGTTAATACGTATATAAAACATTCCGAACAATACCTGGAATGTAAATGTTTGCTGCTGTCATTGTATTCAATCATATTTATTATTAAATATTGGCTTTTTTGAGAGTGGTTTTATGTTTACAGAAAAATTGTACAGAAAATAGACAATCCCCCCATACCTCCTTACACACACACATACACACACACACACACAGTTTAACCTTTTGTTACCATTATTATGGTACATTTTTTAAGTTAATAACCAATATTGATACATTACTATTAAGTGAGTCCCATAGTTTGCATTAGGGTTTATTCTTGGTTTTGTACATTCTATGGATTTTAACAAATAGATAATGTCAGGTATCCACAATTGCAGTATCATATAGAATAGTTTCATTGCACTATTGAATGAAATCCCCTGTGCTCCACTTATTCATCTATTTTACCTCTTCCCCAATCCCTGTCAACTACTGATCTGTCTGTATATAGTTTTCCTTTTCCAGAAAGTCATATAATAGGAGTTACACAGTATGTAGTCTTTTCAGACTAGCTTCTTTCACCTACCGATATGCATTCGAAGTTCCTTCTAATTGATCTTGAAGTTACTCCAGGTCTTTAATGAGAACTGTTCTTAATTCTATATCAGTTTATTCCCTGGCCTTTAAAAAACAATTAATTTGCTTCATTTCTAAATAAATTCAAATTGCCTTCTACCCTTAGATATTCCTGAAATGTTGTGGCCCATTCAAGTTATGCAGTCTTATTTTCCAGCAGTGTTACATATTTATTCTTTTTAAAGATATATTTTTTAATAATTCTACTTTATTTAAAAGTATAAGTTGACGTTAATATTATAATTTTATTTTACTTAAAATTGTCTCCAAAGGAAGCAATGAATATAATTACAGTAAGTTAAAATTTATACCTAATTTTAGTGTGTGTGTGTGTGTGTGTGTGTGTGTGTGTGTTTCTATGTGTATTCCACCACATGCAGAGACAGAAAAAAAAACAAAAGTCAATTTCTGCTAAGAATGCCCTTGGGGTGCCTGGGTGGCTCACTCGGTTAATCATTTGACTTCAGCTCGGGTCATGGTCTGGCAGTCCATGGGTTTGAGCCCCATATCGGGCCCTATGCTGACAGCTTAGAGTCTGGAGCCTGCTTCTGATTCTGTTTTCCTCTCTGCCCCTCCTCTGCTTATGCTCTCTTTCTCTCTCTCAAAAATAAAAAAAATTAAAAATTAAAAATTAAAAAAAACCAGAATGCCCTTGATGAAGCAGGAAAAAGATTAACTTTGACTAATTGAATATTTATCTTATAATACTCCATGTGAGAGAAACA